CGATTTTGTCCCGTGAGTGTTAAACATTAAACTATCTAACTTTTGTTCCACTAAAAAAACATTCATAACAATGCCTATTTAATTTGATCTTTTCTACTATCCAGTGTTACAAAAACATAAACAAGATTAGTATTTAGACTATAAGAGACCTTTAGAAATGATTCCTACAAAAGCCATGTCTAACTAATATTGAATCATGTTGGATGTTCATTAACAAATGTATGTATATTTAATAGCTTAATATTCTGTTTATGTCAGGTACACTGTTGATCAACAAGGTCACTATCAAAAAGCTCGAAAAAGTTATCACTTCAATAATAATGAGGTAAGGGAGAGGTAGCTTCGTGCCCTTTAACATACTTCTTCTATTTTATTTTCTCAATAGGAAGTAACATATGGGATCGACTTTTCTGATTTTAATGAAGCCATCACACAAACAGATTTTATTCTTAACGATAATGGAAACAAGATCACAATGAAATTGATTGCCGGTTTTCTTGGCATCGGGCAGAATCCAAAAACGAATGCTCTTCGACCAATTCTTGGCTGGTTGACAGCTCTACCTTTAGCCAAGCCTCCGATAAGAAAAACTTGGGATGAAATGTGAGAAACACTAATATACAAACAATATGATATAAAAAGATTTCTTTTAAAATAAACTAAATATCTATTACCATATTTAGATTTTTAAAGAGTTTTTGCTCGAATTTTTCATGTCTATATTCTAAATCAATAATATTATGTCTAGTTGTTGAACATGTTACATTCCAGATTGTGTCGTCAATCATTCCCAAAAAATTCCTACTGAGTGTAGGACCCACACCCATGATGGTTTCTGAAATTCAAATATATTTGTCTGTTTCATTATTTTCATCAATGAATATGACCGAGATATTAGTCAACTCGGAATTATTTATTATAACAACGAAGAAAACAAAGCATCATGACAGATGCAACTAGAAGAAAAAGTTACAAGTACATAATTCCTTCCTGATCATTCTTGTATGTTTTCGTTCTCATTACTATCAATACGAAAAATCGAAAAATGTCGCCTCTGTTTAACCGTAGGAAGTATTTGAGGTTGATTGTGGGTGTGCTTCTCTTCTCTTCAGTCACATCCAACTTACAACCACACCCTTATTTGAGTAAACTTTGTACGAGTAGATTTACTTCATCATGCAATCATGTGTTAAATCATTAAATTAAAGACAACAAATTATAGTCGATTATTTATAGTTTTAAATTTTAAGTTAATGACAAAACATGTTAAAGTTATCATAAGTTAATATTACCAAAAGATGTACACTTTTGATTGAATTATAATGAAAGCGAAACGATTTCAAAAATTTGCTGAATTTTATTAGAGTTTTTCGGTATTCAAATCAAACAATGATGAGATTCTTTTTTGAGAATTATGACCTTTTCCGGTTTACTTGAGACATATTGTATTCTATTGAAAGATGAGTTTACGGATGAAATTGAATTCGATCTATCTGTTATCAAAATGTTTTTCATTTATTTTGTTGAATCAAATTTAGCATAATGCATTTCACATAGAACTATAACTAAAATATGCTGTTAAAGTGTTATATTTTAAAACAATCTTACAATTGTTTAAACGAGTTTTTTCGAAATATGTAAATATTCATGTAATCAATATGTTTTAAATCTCATTTCTGACGAACTATTACTTCTGTTATTTCTTAGCTTTTTTATATTGATGATGAATACGGTGTATGAGAGCAATATTCGATTACAAGCGACATCAAGTCAACAAAACAGCATTTACTGTCGCATAATTTTTTTTAGAATGGTGGTTTATTATTAGAAGATAAACAAAATACTTCTATTTCTTGAACAGTAAAACGTTGATAGACAACTAACGTAAGTGAAACGGAAAAAAAAATGAATTCAGCATTTATTAACATGGCCGTATCCTCCAGATCGACTAGTGCCATTGACTGGTCAACAGAACCTCTGTTAAAAATACTTTTTTTCCGAAGAACGAAGGAGGTCAGAAATTATTTTTCTGTACATTCAAAGCGTGCAATATGTCTCAGATACTACAAGTATCTTCTGTGATCGACATGACTTTATCGAACATCTGATTTTAAGAAAAATTCGAATGCATCGTACTGCTAGATGCCAGTAGAGAAATGCTTGAGAGAACAAAATGAACAGGCCGATATCGATTGAACTATTTTGCGATTCGAATTTGTGTATTGATGGATAATCTTCAATTTGTTTCGAGTATTCACATAAATCATGATTGTCGTGAATTGCATATATCTTTCAGGAACATCTTTATATCTGAAAAATCGAATTTTAGCGATTGATACTATCAACTCTATTGTTTTGATAAGTTCACCAAAGATTGATGACCTCAATGGATCGGTACCTAATGTTATACTATAGATTCATGTCGATGTATGAATTTAGCAATAGGCCTTTTATGTTAGTTATTGCTGAAAGCGAATATTTAAAACACTTTCTATTAATGAAAAAATTTCCTTTTTCTTTAATTTCCATTTAACAGAATGATTCGATATTTACGAAATCCCGTTTGTCATGTATTGATTCATGGATTGTTTCAAGTTTTGTTGGATTCATTATTTCTTGAATTAATTTCACTAAGAATCCTTTCAAGAGATTCCACTCATGTTAATGATCAAATTTTTACAAAAAATTGACTCGATTGATCGATGTTCTACTGATTAGTATGTTCGAAATGTATAAATATCTCACCCCAATACCAGAATACAGGCTTTGCATTCGACACATGTGTAAATGATCCTGCCTATTTATTATTGATCGTAAAAAACAAAAGTACGCAGTTCAATACTTTTCTCTTGAACATTTGATGGAGAAGCATGTTCATTGATGAAAGCTGTATGGAAGCAATATTGGGCGACGTCGGGCTTGGTATCGAAAATTTTAAAGACAAACATCTCATCAGATTACATCTGGCTCATGTAATACCACATGTGTTCGTCCCGAGCATGATGAGATATCGTATAACCCGATGCAGTAACAAAGGATCCTCGAATCTCGAGTGGATGAACATTATTTTTTGTGTCAATCGAGCTATAATCGCAAAGGGTTAATGGTTTCTTCATTATGGTATTGACACCTAGTGGTCGCCATACGTTGATTATTTGGAATCGGTTTGCATTAATTGCTTTACCTTTTCTTTGCCGAATGTATGTTCGAGTTTTGACTGAGTTCCAACGGAATCGTAGTCGACATGTGGCCAAAGCAGAGGATTTCTATGGGTCTTATCACATTCATCTTCCGAGAGTAAGTGATTTCGTGATTGGAAGAAATGGTTGAAGATGAACACAGAAGACGCACCAAGTCATTTTTTGAGGATAGCAGCAATCTCATCATAGTAAGCTCGCTGTGTTTCACTTGCTTCATCGAATTCGTCTTGGACTTGACCTTCGTACTTGAGCACCTCAAAAGCATTTGTGTCGAGATCGAACATGTTCTCTTTGCCCCGCAAATCATGGATGATGGTATGACAAGGTGCCCGTGCAAAATTTGTGCTAACACAGGATAATATTGTACCTACGTCGATTCATAGACCAGAGCTGTCTGTTGTGTGAGTAAAAAAACTGATGTCTGCAGTAACATCGCCATCCATTATGATCTTGGAGTAATTTAGGCAAGCAGAAAAAAGTATACAAAGTGATAGAAATAACGTGAATGAGATAGTGACTCGAGATAAACTACATAAACTTCATCTGTCGTCATCAGCAAGGGATGATAAGTCATTGAATCAATAGCAAACGATACACTACTTGGCGGCACCACTTGTCTTGCTACTTTTTCGCAGTATGAAATAAATTTCGAACATTATTGTGCACATATTAAAAGATTTTGCCAGTGTTCATTTTTATACGCTCGACTCTTATTTTCGCGATCGAAAGTGGCAAGCGGCAATAAGTATGTCGCAATGGCTACAGTCAACCAATAAAATATGTATCAATGAAATTAACCAACTACGTGTGTTAAGAGCAAGCATCCCTAGAGAATATACTGAGTTAAGGGTACCCAAAAAAGTACCCTGATACCAGTATGTCACAGGAACTTTTGGGTACCAAAGTACTTGCAGGTACTTACAGGTACCTAAGTGGTACTTTGGCAAGTACCCTGCTAGAAAATGCACAGTAATTGGGTACCTAAAGGTACTGATCAAGTACTGAATTGGGTACCATTGTATAGTATTTCTAAGTACCCTGTTACCAAATTTTCAGTATGTTCAGGATCGAACCTGATCTTTGACTTTTTAAAATTTTTTCTTTTTCCTGAGATAATTTACTAGATTTTTTTTTTACTTTATTCAATTTAATTTTTTCAATTCTAAAAACTTAGCAGGAACAATGTCGGGATCCGACTCAACTTGAGCTGGTCGTAGACCACTTCAGGGTAGTCCGATCTTAATTTACGACCAAGCTCGGCATTTCCTCGACTAAGAAATAGTCAAGAAATAATTTAGAAAAAACTAGTATGAAAATTGATTATTTTCTTATGATTTATCGAGTTATTTATATAGAGCAGTACGTAAAAAAGAAAACGGTGAATGAATAGTCGCCACACAGAACGCGAAAAAATTAGGATACCCTGTCGAGATTTCCTCAGTAAAGTTACAGACTTGTGTATCCATGCAGGTACTTATTCAGTGAATGTACTTTTACGGATACCCGAAACAGTACATACATCAGTAAAATTACTGAGAATTTTCAAAGTACCCATATTGGGTACCCTGCTAGAGCTTTCTCAGTACATGGGTACCCTGAACTCAGTACTTTCTCTAGGGATGGGTAATATGCAACTCTATACATATTTTCGAAATTGATCTTATCCTTGTTTGCATGATTGAAGTCATAGCATTGTAAATACGTTTGCCTAATATGAGAATATCAAATAATGAAAATATCTGATATAGACTATTATTCTTGGAGAAAATTTCTTTCTGGTTTTTGTTTTTTATCTATTCAGCTACCTTATTGAAGTGCAAGATTTCTATACCATACTAGCAACTATGAAAATAATTACTTACACCTTGCATGTGATTTATCAATTGTTACAAATTTATGAACCTTAACAAGACTAAAGTCGTATCATAGATATTAACAAGCGGAACCTTGAACAATTTTCTAAGTAGAATATTTCACTTTGCCGATAGATTCATTTACAAGCAATTCTTCAACTCAACACGCTCAGTTTACTAGAGTAAAAGTGTTTATTATTTGTGACTTACAAAATCATTGTTAAGAGAAACACCAGAAAATGAATAAAATGGCAGTCGGTATTGAATGATAACCTTTCGTGGTGAAGTTCTTAGAAAGATTCTATGAGAGGACCATCTGATTACATCAGGATCAGTCAGAGAAAAAAAATCTTGATTCTTGATTTATTTTTCTAAAATATCATCCTTAGCTCATCGATTGTTGCCTGAGTTATGCTAGCCTAAGTTCCGATTATACAAAAAACATGATGAAAGATCATTGCGATTGAGAAGTTCAAATTCATATTCGGGCTCGAATTGTTAAAGTGTTTTTATTATGAATGCTTGATTTTTTAAATATTTTCTATATTTTTGGATAACTGAACACAGCAAATGAAATGGTTCAAATAAATTTATTGTGTTGATCGAGAGAAAAACAGTTTACTATTCCAATAGTTTATTTGAGATCTTTCAAGAAATGGGTCATTTTTCAGCTGAATTCTATGGAAAAACTTCACAGATTTGTGCCATAAAGAAGACCATTGATTAGAGACTTGTCAACAGCTCTCTATTGTCTTCGTGAGCGCATATCTAAGATGACGAGTTGAGTCAAAAAAAAGCTATGCGACTCTGGAAAACAATCCACTTTGATTTCTCGGAAAAAATAAGAACAACATTAAGTCCGCAATTCCTCTGAAATAGTTTGATTGTTCTTTCTTATGTTGACTGTGTGGCTAGAGAGATTGAATGCTGATTTTTTTCTTTTGATCGCGACATTGGAAGGGAGTATAAAACAGAATAAAAAAGAACAGAAAAAGAAAGGTTTGCAACGAATCTCGTCGCTGCCATATAAATAGAAAATGCCATTAAACGTTGAAGTTACTTCGAAATCTATCCTTATATAAAGACAAAATTAACTCTCTTTACGGGACAAATGACACTTCAATTTGAAAACCATACTGAAGCGATGAAATTTCCATGTACTAAGCACTTGAGACGTTTTAAATTTAAACAGATGACTCTAGAAACAACTCATTTTTCTAGTTAAAGAAAAACTTAAGGTTCGCTGCGTTTCATTACCAAAAAACAATGAAGGAAAGCATAACCTTCCAATCTTCTCTCTGTTTTAAAATAGTAGTAAATTAATTGAATGTTCATCTCTTATAGCTGCTAAATTATCTCATCACTTCTAGCAACTGATTCTCTAAGATACTATCTTTTAAAGCAGCAGCTGGATTCCAAACAACAATTCAATTTGTTTGGTTGACGGTCGACTAACATGATACAAGTTGACCTCTGAAATAGTTAGACAAAAAAGACGCAATTAATCGTACCCAAGTAAAGTTTTTATGCAGATGTTGGCATAGTCTGCATCAATTTCTCATATACATTTTTCATCATAACAAGAAGAAATGACATTTATCAGTGAAAAATCATTCTTATTTTAATTCAAAATGACTTGAAAATTCACTTTACTCTTATGCCATATTTAAAAACGTTTTTATCTTGAACACAGCTGCACAGATTATAAAATAGCACAATTACTCTAGATTAATCAACAAAATAATCAGACTAAAATCAACTTCTCTTTTATAGAATTCTACATCACAGAAAAAAATATCATTATTTTTTTACAAAGAGTGTCTCAAAAGTCATAAATATTTAATAAACATAAATAACTTTGCAATTGATCAAGCTTAATCCAAACTTGGCTTTTATTTGAAATAGGAGACTAACAAGCTTTAATGCATAAAAACTAATTTCAGCAACAGTATAGAAACTGTAACAATATTGGACTCTTTCATGAGTTCACATTCAGACTATGCTTCTTTAAATGATGTAGTCCTACTGTTAAGACGTTCTCAAACGGCTAGGTTAATTTTTTTGATAATTTCAACCGCATTATTATACATAGAAGCAAAAAAGAGCGCGTATTGAGTATTGATTGGAAGCGGACATACGTCAAATATTTGTGTGAAATCAATTCTCGGTCTTTTTAGAAGCTTTTATGACAAAAAATTCTTCTGTGTAATGTTACCAAGTGTTTTGTTGAAACCTCGTTGAATCAGAGTGTTTCTATAATGATCTGTGGATTTTTTCCTCATGCAACATCCTAACTTAGAATAATAAACTCCGCATTATTGAGTTCAAACGTGAAAACCTTCAAGAATGATTGATTCCATTGAGTGAACAGTTTTTCTAGTTTCCCATATATATTAAATTAAGCTAAATAATTATGGCATAAATGTTTACAAAAAAGCAGGTTCAACACACAAAAAAGTACTTATCGTACATAAATAAAGTTATTGAAAAAATTCTCAACGATAACATACTAACTATGGCGTTGTTTAATGCGTGCAAACAGACCATATTTGGCTTTGATGGTTACACCTTTCATTTCTGGTGTAATGTGTTGGTCTGGTAATAATATGAACTCACAACGTTGTACGAACATGGCAAGAATGATTTTCGCTTCAAGTATTGCGAAATTTTGTCCGATACAATTGCGTGAACCTGCAGCAAATGGAAGAAAGGCAAACGGATGAGGAAGTTTCGGTTTCAGACCGGATACCGAATCACGCATCCATCGTGTATAGTCAAATTCAAGAGGACGTGGCCAATATTCTTCACGTCGATGAAGAGCATAATTGTGTACCAAAATCATGGCTCCAACGGGCACGTGCATTTCAAGTTTTCCATCTGAACTGACAAGTGTATGCTCTTTTATACATTCCCGAGCAAAAAATGGTGCTGGTGGATAAAGACGAAGAGTTTCATAGATAACAGCCTCAATCACTGGAAGATCAGCCAAATGCTCAAAATCAGGCATAGTTCCATTTGGTAAAACACGATCGACCTCTTCACGGCATGCATGCAAAACTTGTTCATGAGTCATCAAAACATAGAAGGTCCAAGCCATCAAAGTTGCTGTTGTTTCATGTCCCGCCAAGACGAAAGTCAATGCTTCTTCTCTTATTTGTTGATCACTAAAACCCTTATGATTTTCATCGACTGCCGATAAGAGTAGATCGAGAATATCTTCGCCAGAACATAAACTCTTTGACTTTCCATTTCGTCTATCAGTAATGGCTTGATCGACGAATTCATTCAGTTTCTTCGCTGCTTCATCGATAGTTTTTTTACCCCAAAATGGCAAATCAGCGAGAAATTGAACGAGGCCAATCAATCGAAGTGCTCGATATTCGATTACATCTTTGGCATTATTAAATGATTGACAAATAATCTCTTTAGCATGTGGTATCGTCTCAAGACCTTGGCCAAAGGCGCTCGATGCGATAATTGAAAGAGTCAAAGCACTAAATTGAGTTTCAACATCGATTCGATCTGATACTGACGACATACTTAGAATAGAATCGATCGCTTTTGCCGTTTCATTCACCATAATTGGTACCATAGATCGAAGATTAAGAAAATGAAAAGCTGGATTGAGCATTTTTCGTGCACGATGATGTTCTTCGCCTTCGCTAATGAGAAGATTATGAACACCCGCGAGAGGTTTGACTATGAGTGTTAGATCATTTGGTTTTCGATAATTCTCACACTTTGAACGGCCTAAGAAGTCAGCGATCAGATCAGGCTCAAGTAGAACTAAACGTATTAATGGGCCAACACCTACCAGATAGCGATACCCGTGTTTGTGTGCAAGATCATTGAAATAGTCAACTCCTTTGCCCATCTTACTAGCACGAAGCATGTTAGGCAATTGACCGATAACCGGAATAAACGGTTCACCAGGAATACCTTGGACTTTAAATACATCGTAGACATGTTTTTGAGGACGAACTAGGGTAATGTAAATCAATGCAACACAAGCCAAGAGAAATCCAATGATAATGTAGACCACAAGAAGCAATGCCATGTGTTTGGTATCAACGTCTAAATCAGAAGTGACATGTGTAATATAATTTCGAGTTTTTGTCTAGTTACAGAAACTATTATTAGGAAGCGTGCATTCCTCCAAAAACTAGGTCTCCATCACCCAGAGAAATAAAGTAACATATCTAGCTAGTTCATACGACCAAAAAACATGCATATCTGCTACTTGTCGACTAAAACTCGAGATTCAAATAATGTCATATGAAATGCTTAAAAAGAACAAGAAAGATAATGTTCATGCAAATAATCAGTTAAGCTGTCCTTGTACCAATGCGTTTTCTTGTAGTTTTATCCTGAAGACAGTGTTTTTATGTACTTCGAGTTTTGTCACTTGGCGCTTCGCAAAGAAGTATTGCCTCGAAATTTTTGATTTGCTCATCACACAGAAGCAAAAAAAAAGAAAAAAGAATGCAGTGAAAAAGTGAAGGTACATCACTTAGTTCAAAATAGTTAAGATAATTTCTATCAAACTTGGAACTTCCAGATAAATTAAAATGACGATTCTTTTATGACCTATCCGAATATGAGAGGATCTTCTAGGATATTTTTTGCCATAAACTATGGAAAACTGTCCACACCCTACAGTTTTGCACGAAATAGTGTGATTGTCGCAAAAAATAATAATATGCAGAGTTCCAATTAGTAAAATCAGAGATGGAACCGGTACCGGTAACCGGCCGGTCCAAACCGGTCTAAACCGGCATAAACCAGTCTGACCGATCGAAATCGCGTTAAACCGGTCTATATTTTTCACTTTCCCGCTCTATGACGGTAATCATATGAAAAAAACAACTGGCACCAAGATTAGTTCCACTAATCACATAGGAATTTATTTTAAAAAAATTTTCAAAATACCTATCAGTGAGACTATTGTTATCAACGGGAAAACATTATGTCAGTATGCGTGAAAGTACGAAGTTAGCCCTAAAGAGAGTTCACTATGAAGCAAGGCTTCATTTCAAGCCTTAGCCTGTTGTCTATAGATCGATATTTTGTCGGTAGGTCGGTTTTTCTTTTATAAACTGACGTACCATCAGCATCTTGTTGAGTACCGGTAGGCTGGTTTTGCCCGGTAGACCGGTTTTACCGATAGACCCGCAGATCCGACCCGGTCTTATTGTTTTGGACCGGTACCGGTCTGAAAAAACTAGACCGGTTTCATCTCTGAGTAAAATAATGACATAAAATTACAAAAATTCTGGTTCAATTGAATATGACAAGAAAACGTTGAAGAACAAACACTAAGAAACTCTATCAATCGGTGATAATTTTACTGAATTTTATTTTCATTATCCAACACAATGACTTTACTTCAGGGTGCATGAAAAATAGTGATAGGAAAAAATGTTAATTACTGTGAATGAAATCTTTAATGAATAAAATATTCGCATATTCCTTCGTAGCAAATGCTTTGATGATGCGCGTAGTCATTTTTGCTCCTTTGGTACCAGTCAGAAAAAAAGCGACTAAAAGCTTATCTTGTGATTTGGATTGAATATACAATTGTACATCTTTTGAAAATAGAATTCATGTTTTAATTACTTCATTAAGCTGAGCTTCACGCAAAACGAAAATGTCGCAATTATTTTGGGTCAGCTGATAGTACGCATATGATGAAATATGTGAGTTTGTAAATTGAAAATATATTCATCTCTTCAGTCTCTATTCATCGTGAAGGTTAAATGGTAAATAAACAGGGACCTGGACTGTTTAAAAACATGAGAATTCATGTGCAATGCTTACCCTAATTTTTCTTTGCGATATATCAAAATGTATTGTTATAGGTTTTACTATGTTTTTATTTATTTATTTATTGAAAACAACAACTTAATATATAGTAACAGCGATGGTGACGATGAAGATGGTAAAGTTTTTCAAGAGGAGAAAGCATCAACAATAATCAAGAATGGAAGATGGAGGAAAAACATCAGAGAGAATGGAAAGTGGAAAGATTAGCGTCATCAAGTGACATCTATTGATATTAACAAAACCGCCTCTCTTGTCCGTAGTCAAACTATAGACATAATAATGAGAAATATGAATTTTCACAAACTATTATTCTTGAAAATGTCCTGATAAATTATTCAATGTTTTCTCGATTTTTTATTGAGAAATTTCATACTAATTGATTGTAGGTGTCTGCAATAATAGTTTCTTATAATAATAGGAAAGCCATTAACTGTCAACATGAATTTGTAATATTATCGTTGTTCTTGTAAGTTAAAGATAATCCAAGTCGCTATATTTTACGATACATCGCTTGAGTGAAGTACTAGTAGCAAGATGCATGCATTAATGTATTAAATTATAAGATAAAAAAAGCCCAAACATATGCCCAACCCAAAACAAATATAGAAAAAGCCTAGTTTAGCTTCAATGACATCCATTCAAACTGGTTCAAAATCAGTCATAATGATTTTCGATGCACAGTCAAATTTTATTTGCACAGCTATTGACTTTAACTCAGTGACCAAAAACTGCTATGTACTTTTGCATCTACTTGATAACAAGCTAAAATCACAGGGAAACGCTAAACAAAAAAATAATTAGACTCATATAGATAATTACGAGCAAAACTAATTACCTATCCTGCTCATATTTGATCAAAAATGTTTTGACAAGTCGAGAATGTTCTATCCATGAATATAATTTCTATTTTAAAGAGCATTTTTAATTGTTCATATGAGACAAATAAAAGCATTCGTTGTCGTCTTGTAATCATCTTATCAACAATCAACAAATCATCGTTTTGCAATATTCTTTTGTATTGACCTGGAATATCAAATAGTTGTATTCTTGGAACGTGTCTTGGATTTCATCATTACTTTCTTCTTCATTAGTCATTTCGTTGTATTCATCATAGAATTCAAGAGTTTGGCAGGTATGAAACTCACTGAAATAACTAACTATGAAAGCTTTTAGAACTGCAAATAATTGCTGCCAAGCAAAAGATTTATTAGCACTTGTTACAGAATTTGCGAAGCTAAATCTACTTTAGCCAAAATGGAGATGTTTGCGATATTCGATAAATTCATTGTTTTAGTTCGATAAACTATTTTTTAAAGTAATAATTACTTGTGGTACACTGTAAGAGAGGATATAGGTTTGGATGTGGCTTTCGGCGAAGCAAATAAGAACATCCATACTTTACATCTACATCCACCTCCGACGCTTTCATATTCAATCATCGTAAAAGCTTTTGAATACACATAGGTTACTTGTTCATAAGGGTAAATAAGCATTAAAACTTATTTTGATTCGCAATAAGTACTAGTTGATCCTTCATCAGAACATTTACTTATGGTAATAAATTTTCAAATGCTTATATTATAATGCATGTAAGTCAATATCATGACTATCTTAATCTTTAAATTTCTTTATGTGAACTGATCTTTTTGGCGGGTTGAGTTTTTACTATTTAAAAGAAAAGGAACGACTATGTCCGTTTAAATATATTAGTCTCCGAGTTTTGACAACGATTCGTCTGAAAATTCTGTATTTCGATAGGATCAGTACAGTAGAAACAAATGTCGAATAGCTTCTTTTCATAGTTCGACTTGAACAAAAACGTAGTTTCTCACTCTGTCAAATCAATATTCAATTATACCTTTGGAGCAAATTTAAAATTTCAATCAAAATTTTGCTATATTCAAGATCACGAAAGAATTTTTCAATGCTGGAATCAATATGCTTCCAATAGATAGACGGAAAATTAAATACTATAATTGATCAATATTAACTGATGTGGTACACTGTTAGAAAGAAAATGTACTCTCTTCAGATTTGCTTCATCGTTTCGAATGCCATCAATCAGCTCAAAGATGTAAAACATAAACGATCGAATCAGAATATTGATATATTATGAAGAAAATCATGATAGTTTCAATTGTATCTTTGCATTTATTTTCATCTCAATATATAAAGGAGTAAACAGAGCAACAAGTACAACATCTATTGAAGTGCAATGTTTGAGGAACAGTACGTAAGCACAAGAAGAGAGGAAGATAGTCAGCTGACCAAAGTTTTAATTAAAGTGAAGACACGATAAAACCCCATAATCGAAAAAATCAGTTACACAGTGTGTCGAGTTTATGAAACGCAATGTAATATTTGACCAAATCGTTGAATTTTGAGTTTTAAATACTGTGTTAATTCTTTATTGTACACAAATAAATTGACGATTTCACATAGAAGACTTACCTGTCCCACACCTACGAGAGACAAATACGTCACTGGCCCGATACTGAAGTACCACGGAATACTGAAATATATGTAGACTGGACTCCAACCTCCAAAGAATATGCAGAACATGAAGACAATATGCCGCAGTAGATGAGTATCACGGCGACTCAATCGCTGATTGTGAGGATTGACACCAGATGTTTGTGTTCCAACTGTTTGACCTTGGGGTTGAACTTGATTAGATGAAGAACGAGCATAAATAAATATGCGCATATTGACGACGAGAGAGACTAATGCAGGAAAAACAACAATAATGAATAGCGCGTAGATATTCACCCATGGTTGTCGTGTACAATACTTCAAATAGATCAAAAAATTATATTTATTTTCATTTTTATCATTAGCAAACATTATTAGCAATCAATATTCTATCTAACGATAGAGTTGATAACCTAGTCATTTTCAATAAATTTATATGTCAATATAAACTGGTGGATAGTACGATAGAATATACAATCGACTATTGAGGGACAATGAATCGGAGGAGATTAATAAAAAGACTTTCATCTTCAGCTAGTTTGTGCAACACTCTAATGACCTTGAAAAAATATTACTGATAGCTGATGAATGCCAATTCAGTTCTTTTTATCTTTCTAAATGAGATCTGATTGACTGCGCGTCAATTTTCTAATATGTACTTCTATGCGTAATGAATGAGTAGATGTTTGAACGTTTTTTTCGATGTAAAGTGTAGTATCTTCATCATTAAGCTTTACATAATTGCTAATTCATCATAACTAT